TGGCTTTCCCACTGCCCCTTCTCCCTGGGTGCTCGGCTGCCAAGCCAGGGTGCGGGGGGCCACAGCATCCCCGTCACGGCACAGCCCAGCTGGACTCACCCCAGCACCAGTCTTCAGCCCCCCGTCCCCTCGGCAGCCACTGTCCCCCCAGCTAGCTGTCGTCACCCTCCCAACCCTGCCAGATGAGCGGTGGCTGGTTATTGCATTTGAGCGGTGACTAATAAAAATGACATAAACACGCAGCTGTCTGGAGCCTGAGAAGGCTGCCCAGAGGATTGGAGCTGGTCTGTGGGAGCATCCTGTCCCTTCCAGGAATTAGGGAAGTGGCTTCCCCGTATCCGACCAGACCACAGATCCTGAGGTAGGAGGAAAGATGCGAAATTACTGCCTCCTTCAAAGAATCAGACAGGAGGGGACGTGAGGGACCTTCCGGAATCACAGCTTCCAAGCCTGTTAGCGCAACTGCCTCTATTTTACATTATTTATAGCAGACCTGTCTGAACTGGGCACAGACACGCTTCAGCACAATGCTGCACCAGAGAGGGTTGTCCATCCCTTGGATTGGAGAAGTCAGGTGCCATGAGGCCCCAGCCCCTTGCACCCTTACTGCCTCGCCCACCGCCTTGGTCATGCCACCTCCCGCGCTGCGCCTCTCCCTTTGGCTCTTGGCTCTCCCTCACTGCAGCCTGTTCTTTCTCTGCGAGTTCTTGCTACTCCACAGCCTGCAGCCTCTCTACCTCTCCCCTCTCGTCCTGGTCAGGACGCCGATTCCTACTGCCCAGCGCTGCCGGAACTCCCCTTCCACAGCCCCCTCCCGTGATTTTTTGGCGGGTTGCATCTTACTCGTCGGAGGAGACAGGCTATAAACAAGTGCTGAACTAAACTAATTATCCTCCCTCAAACACTTCCCGAATCAGCTTTGCCGTGCCTCCACAACACTCGGCACGTTCCTAGGGGAGACAGGCACCGTGCACTTCAGGGGCTGCCTCCCCGAGCAGAACCCCCAGCCCTGCCCTCCCCCCCCCGGGACCCCCGTCCCACGCCAGCAGGCTGCGCAGGATGCCGGTCCGGTGAGGAGCCCCGCTGGCTGCCGTGCCCCGGAGCTGGGAGAAGCGAGGTTGCGTCCCCGTGCTCGCTCCGGGGCACTGCAGCTCTCCGCCAGCGGCACACGGCGTCCGCAGCAAGGACCTGGGCAGAGAGAAATTAAAATAAATGGCTAAAACCACGCACTGACTCGATGGCAAACCTGCAGGAGGAAGGGATCCCAGTGTCCTGTTCGCTGTAGGAGAAGGAGCAGGCTAGGAAAGACAGTAGTTATGTTTAAAGAAAAGTTTCTGGGGGTCAAAACTGATTTTTGAATTAATATTTTATTTGTGTGTAGATCAAATGGTAGTGACACCTTTCTCATCATGACGGTAATTAAACACCCCAGAGCACAGGCTTTTATGAACAGGTCTGATGAACACCCACCAAGGACAACACTGTCCTCCCTCAGAGATGCAGGTTTTCATGCTCCTAAAGGTCTCTTGCCGTTCTTCACTCCACTGGCTTTTAATGGTCCCCACAAAAGAGAGTGACAGAGGCACATTCTTGCTTTTTTACTGAAGAAAATGCCCAGTTACAGGCACAGGAAGGGGGAGCGAGGAGGATTCAGAGCATCCCCCAGAGAACCTTAAATGAAATTATTCTGCTGAATAACCAGGTCTCAGCAGGA